TAGCAGGTGAGAGCTTAGCCAGGTAACTGAACTGATGTTGCATGTTAATTTGATTATTATTGCATCAGGTCATGCTTCTTTGTGTAAGCACCTTTGCAGAGGGGAATAAAATATAAAAATGCTTAGCCACATGACCAACAGTAAAATAAATGGTACAATCTTATCTTTTAGATGTTAGTAGGAATATTTAAAAATGATTACAAATCACATATTTGCATGCCCTTGAAAAAAATTCTTTAAGTTTTTGTCCTGCACTACGCATCATTAAACTTAGAATAAAGATATAAGTAACATAATAGTATAAAGCATAAATTAGAGTGTTGCCAGTGTAAATAAAAAATAGTTATTTTTTTTAAGCATAATCACAACTTCTCAGACATAGCATGCATTTAGCCCATTTTCTAAGACAAAGGAACACTCATTTTAAGTGTTGATAATGGGTATTAAAGTATGATTTCTTTGCTACATTCACACCATCTATGTGTTATGTGTGCTTTTTATTTATATTCAATATCATTGTGTATTCACACATGTGCTCATATTTTATTCTCAGTATATTTCTTCTGTTAAGTCTATGAATGGCTTTGTTTTTCTAGTACCAATTATAATAAAGGGATAATAATGTTTATTGCTGCAGCAGCAGCTTTCCCTTCACACTCCACTAGTTTAAACTGATGACTGCAGAGCTTGAGATGTAGAGAAAGCACAGCCCTTCCATATGGCAACCCCTTTACGTACGTCCTTGCTTTACCCTGCACTGTTTTTTTTTCCATTTATAACATTTTCAGGACAATACTAAAGCTATTCTAATATTTTCATAAACTTTTTTTTTTTACTATGATACAATAAGCAGAATAATTTAGAACAATGTTTATAGATATTAGCTGTACAGTGCTATGCTATTCCTTTGTAGCATATGATATAGACAGTATATAATGGCTCTTGTACACTGTGCTATTGTGCTACACAGTGTATTCCTTTGTCCTTCAAAGAACTCACAGAGCATTTGACTCAAGGAGCTATCCATGGGTTCCTTAAAAATTCTTCCCAATTCTCCCAATCTCCCAGCTCCACCAGTATACTCAAAACTGTAACTACCACCTAAAATAGGTTACAAAGAGGGTTGGTGATGGGAGGAAGCACAGGGTCCCTTTACCCCAGACCATGCATACATTTTCAGAACACTTTTTACGTGCAGAGATTTATCCTACATGTTCAACCAAAAATACATATTTTTTCCAGTAAACATGCTCTGGGGCTCATCATTGCTTGAGCTTGGATTAAATGTTGCACCAAATTCAGTGGTGTGGTGACTAACAAAATAGCAAATAGATTGACCATTCTCGGTGTAAAATCTCTTGTCTATGAGCAACCTAAATGGACAGACAGCTTGCATGGTCTCTGGGCCAACACTTAATTTCCATGAATAACCTTTCTGGACATCATCACATGTTTGTTGTCTGACTGATTTCCAGTGTATTTTTTTATTGAATTGCAATGTAGAGATGGTTAGTGAGGAATACAGCAATATACAAAAGCCCTTATAAACTAAGTGTTTTAATTGTTAACATTATGATAAAACAGAGGTGGCACTTAAACATCTACTGTATAGACAAAAAACTGCTATTCATTTAATACAGGAAGCCTATAATAGGGATATAATGATATCACCAAATATTTATATGGAACATTTATATGCCAATCTGTGTGAAAGTTCCTTTTGCCCAAATAGCAGCTCTACAGGCAAAACTCCCTGGAGATGTTTCCTTTTCCTATCTGTGTCAGGCAGATTCATTATTAGTAAAGATTTTAAGAACCAATAATATTGCCAGTCTATTATTTGTGGGCAAATGACATTATAGTTTACTGCCATGCAACAAATTAAACGAATCGTTGAAGTGCCAGATTTATGAGGCTTGTGTCAGTGCTTCTAAATAGACTTCAGCCTTTTGTTAGATGATTTAAGCCTGTAAAATTATGTTATGTTTTTGTGAATGTAAGCATAGGCCATTGGGTTCAAATAGAAGATGGTGTTGGAACCAAGCAACAGCTTAGCCTGAGTTTTTGCAGGCTGGAATTTAGGAGGTAAGGAAATCATGACTATAGGGATTAAACAACCAGGATAACCAGTTACAGCAGATTAAACTGTTATTAAAGATTCTTAGCATGTTGGATGTGTGTTCTGTTCCATATTTGTCCAAGCATTCCATTTTAGGGCGTAAATATTAGGGATGCACCGATATATCAGCCGCCGGAACATATTGGCCAAAAATTGCACTTTTGGCAAAATGCCGAAAGTGCCATTTTCTTGCCGATATAGCGGTGCATCCTATTGTCTCCTCATTGCTGGGCGCTGCTGTGTCCCAGCGGGGAGGAAAGAAACTGCCACAGGCGGGAACGCTGCGGGAGGAGAGCGCTGTGAGCGGCCGGCATCCCTCCTCCCACACCGCTCAGCCTCCTGTAACAGATTGGCAGAGCAGTGTGTGGGTGGAGACAGCCAGCGCTGTCACAGGAGGCTGAGCTCAGCTTGCTCACTGACACAGGATGGAGAGCGAGGTACAAACACTCAGCAATCAGTGATCGCTGAGTGTTTGTAAATAATTGAGGACATAGTGGGGGGAATTTATCAAAACTGGAGCAGACAAAATCTGGAGCAGCTGTGCATGGCAACTAATAAGCTTCTCTGTTCAGTTTGTTCATTTAAGATTTGAAAATGAAAGATAGAGGCTGATTGGTTACCATGCACCGCTGCTCCAGTTTTTGTCTGCTCCAGTTTTGATCAATTCCCCTCAGTATGTTTACTATAGCCTCAATTATGAATGAATGGGAAGTGATCTACATCACTTCCTGTTCATTCATGATTGTGGTTATTGTAAACATACTATGTCCAAGTTATGAATGAACAGAAACACTCAGTATAGAGGATTCCTGTTAATTTATAACAGGGGCTGCAGTAAAAGAGATTGAGGACACAGAGTCCTCAATCTCTTTTTCTATTTTAAAAGACCCCTAATATACCCCTAATACCCCTAATATTTCCCCGAAGCCCCTAGAAGTAAAGTAAAAAATACAAATATTTAATATAAATGAATAAATGAATACAAATAAAATATAAAAAAATTAAAAGTTTATAAAAAATAAATAAAAATAAAATGTACATTTTTTTTGAAAAAGTTAGAATAAAAACATTTTCTGTTTCGACCTGACATTTTTTTTTAATTTCGGTTTCGTTTCGGTTTTGAAATCTTCATTTTGGTGCACCTCTAGTAAATATCTGGTGTAACTTGTAAAGTTTTTAAGTATGATTTTTTTTTAAAGGAAAAGCAGAGTGGAATCGTGCCCTATTCACACCTATCTATAATTTGTTGACTAGAATGCCCACCTAGAATGGCCAGATCAACATGCGGTAAAAATGTGATCATTATGAATACTATACACACTTCAGTGGGAAGTTATATTGGTTTTGGGTCAATTTTATTTACAAAATAAATTGCTAGAAGAATAGACAATTATTGTTTCTTCTGCCACAAAGCTTTGCCTACCAGCATTTTTTTTACATATGTTCCACTTTAAGACTAATGAAGGCTTTTTGAGGTCTGGGTTACAAAACACCACTTATATTATATCACCTAAATATTTGAATTCTGACACAAAAGAATTACTATA